AGATTGATATTTTTGAATTAAATATATGCACAAATTGTGACTTTGTTTTAATTACACAGAACTTTTTGAGTTTGCAATTAAATTTTTGATTGAAGTTGATAAGTTGATTAGACACCATTTTAAACTTTTGTACTTGAGTATATGACACGGGAAAATCACAGATTTAGTAGTTGTCTTTTTAAAAATTTTAAATATCAGATACAATATTAAAAACTTGATTTTTGACTTAGAATACAGATAACATTTTGTAAAGTTTAGATTCGAATAACATCGGCCACTCAATAACAAAATGTGATTCTTGTACAGTCGAAAATTTGTAGAAGGTTAGAAATGATGATAACCAATGTTTTATCCTGAAAATGATTTCTGTTTTCATGATGGTTTTATAAACTTTGATAAGTGTGGAAATGTTTGCTTGAAATTGTGTCTCTTATTTGTAAACATGAAATGAATAACTGTATTGTGTGTATATTTCCACAGCTGACTAATCACATTCCATAATAGCAGTTACAACACACCAACTGAGTAATTTATAAAATTCATGTACCAAAACATCCTACCAAGTGTATGTTTACATACAATAGTGTACATTCCTAATTATTTTGTTTTTTTACTGTGACATACTGTTTATTTTCACTGGCATTTAATTAACTAGTTTGATAATTTGAGCAATTTCACTGGGATTTAATTTAAATTCACAAAGAAAAAAAACAATAAGTTCTATTGTTACTTTTACATGTTCAAGTGGATTTATTAATTTAGCAAATTTCACTTATCAGCGAAAATAACGAACTAAAACGCAGTGAATAATTACTGTAAAATGACTAATTTTCACTGGGTTTAAATTTCACTGATTTACTATTTCAGGCATATTCAGTTGGTTTTAAATCCACAGTTTTATCATTCAGATAATGTGTTCTATGCTGAATTTTACATATTCGCTGGGTTTTAATTTAGCGCATTTTCCAGTCAGCGAAATAAGCTAAATTAAAACCTAGTGAATAATTAACCCTTTTACAGTAATTCATTTACAGTTTATATTGCATTAGGTATGTTTTCAACTGAGTGAGTTTTACTTTTTGTGAGAGAAACCAGAATAACTAGTACATGTACAAAGAGTATTGTCAACATTTACAATAATGCTATTGCATTTCTCTCATTATTTTATATTTAATATCATTAATATAGTATATTTAGTAGTTCTTCTACATTGAATTTGTTATTTTGGGCAAATAAATAAGAGACATTCTCTACGCTATAAGACCACAAAAAAATGAATGATCTGTATCTGTATCTGGTCTGTATGCGTTTCATTTTAAAAGGGGCTGCTCATGTTTGTTTTTTCTTCTGGTTCCTGTTAAAATAATGTAAAAGGAAAGAAAGTGTGCCCATAACAAATCTTTTACACTGTTTATTATTTAAGACAAGGTAAAGTAGTTTGTTATGGAACGTTGTAACTGTGTACTCTAGTTACTTTGTTTGCACCCTCGAGTTAAAAAAATGCCTTACAAATTTAAACCAATCAGGTAATTGAAACTTGTTAAATGTATTTTGTTTGTTCATGCAACCAACAATAACTTGTTATCCACGTCTGGGTTTCATTTCTTTGGTCCTGGCCATGATGTAATATGAGGTGCGTGTCCTACAGATTATTCTAGAAGGAATGCTTTTACAGATGTAGTTATAACTGGAGCATGGTAACACATTGCTGTATATTCATAACGTAGGACTACCATATAATAAATTGAATTTTATATAGTATTACGCCAATAAATGTTTTTACCTAGTTTTACATTTATGAGTGGGTTGCTCTCCACAGTAAAATACTAGCCATTAACTTTTCTGGCAGTTCTTTTTTTAAAATGCATCTACAATTTTTAAGTGAAAGTATATTTTCAAAGCAAGTATTTTATTTTAAAAAATAAGTATTTTTTAATTGTTTTGATGTTAACTATTAATTAATATAAGTATTACCTCAATTTTTCAGTGTTATTGTTTGTATGTTTCAACATTATCTAAAAAATAAATCATGTGATCAAAAACATAAAAAATTTATAAATTTATTGCAATTATTTTATGCTGCCTTTTAGGAAAGATAGTCTCTGTTTTAGACTCACTATATTTTTACAGAGTAATTTAGATTTACGAGCCCATTTAAACCCATCACTAGAATTTACCGCCTTATTTCTTTGTTATGGTTACTAGGGTCAGTTTTAATTGCATAGTAACGGTTGTATACATACATGTAAACTTGAA